AGTAACTAGTTTTCAAACATTGTGCATAGGAATATCAGCACATGTTTGGTGTATTGCTTGTTTTAATAAATGAATAAATGTAAATGTAAAACATTTAGTTTACTGAAAATATGTGAATACAGGTTGATTGGGTGACTTTTCCCAGTCATTTCAATGGTTAAATATTTGTCCAATCAGCCTGAATTCACATAAGAAATGGGCCAAACATAAAGTATACTTAAAAATATACTTGAACTTTACTTAAGTATACTTACTAAAATAAACTTGAAGTATACTACTTTTTGGTAAGGGAAACACACATTCATTCTAGCCGTTTTCTGTTCTTCAAACAAATCCTTTGCTTACTCGTCTTTTTATTTATTTTTCTACCCGAAGCTGCGGCAACAACAATGAAAGCACTAACCTCCTCTGACTCCATGTTTAATGCAAAAGCTTATGCAGTTGCTGCAGGAAAGTGCAGTTTTTCATTTACCAACTGCTTCGTCATGATTATCAACCTTTACTGGTTCATATTGTGCAGAAGGGCTCACAACCTCAGGAGTGGCCGAACCCACGCCGTTTCCAGCTGGCCTCTGGCTGCTTGAGCACTTTTTTTTCAAGAAAACTACAATGAAAATAACAACCAATATCAATAACACAGGTAATATAATGCAAACCAAGAGTACAGGCAGTGATGGCACCATTCTGTCCTGTTCTGTTTCTCCTTGTTCAGTGGATATTGATCCTGAAAAAAGAAAAAAAAACTTTTACAGAAAACATTACCTCACTGTAATAAAGGATCCATCTATCATTTATATACAGCAGCACTGAGACTGGAGCATCACTGCTGAACTTCAGATATTGAATCAATCACTTGCAGTATTTAGATTTTAAAACAAACTACTTTGTTTAAATTAAAAACAATGCACTAATCAGCTAGTTTCACATACCATTGATGATCAGCTGTACAGTCTGATATTTAGATGAGTGTGTGATATAGCAAATGTATTGTCCTGCATCAGTGTGTTGAAGATGGTTGAGTTTGATGGAGAAGTTTCCTCTCAGATACTCCTGAGGGAAAGTTTCAGTTCTGTTCTTGTACTCTGGATCCTGTGTCACTGGTGAATTACTGTGTGGAATTATATCAAATACAATTTTGCTGCCGTTGTGTCTCCAGTGTACATTAATGTCTTGAATTTTAAGATCATGTTCAGCTGAGGAACACGGCAGGACAACAGAACCACCAATAACAGCCTCTACTGTGAGCTGCAGACACACTGAAATCACACAAGCTGTAACTGTAAATGCACAATATAACATTCATAAACATTTGTTTGTTTGTTTTAATGCCATGCCAGATTATTTGGCAATTTATGGCAAAAAAACATACTTTAGTTAAATTTTAAATACAAAATATATTTGACA